GACGCCTCTCTTGAAGACAAAGCCAACCGACACTTACCCATTTCAGTTTTTAAGCAATTAAACAATAAGAATTAAGTTTTAACTCAATAAAATCTCAAATAATAAGTAGTGAACATTACAGTTTGTGGAATAAAACACAACACAGCCCGCTATCGGGGTGTCACTAGTCATGAGCATCTATCAATTCTAACACAAGTCTGAAAAGTCCACAAAGCTAATACAAGTCACTAATAAGGGAAAAGAATGAGATACGGGGGAGAAATACGGGACTGCGGACGCCAAGCAGCCACCTCGTGAACTTCGAAATCTGTCGGGAGCTCTCAACTCTTGCTAGTAGGATCAACAACGGCTGAATCTGCACACGGGGTGCAGGGAGTAAAGTGAGTACTCCAACTCTGTGTAAGGCATATTACAGGCTATAATGAAGCAGTAAAAGCCAGTAAAATAGTGAATTAGTAAGGATATGTAAAAAATCATTTTAGTTCAGTTTAAACTTCATGAAATGCCTTTCTAATATTTAAGCAAACAAATAACAGGCAAATAAGAAAGATAAACACATAAAGGTTTGCCCCTCAGGCACAATATCAACAAATCCGCCCCTCGAGCAATATCTCATAACAATACTAGCCCCTCGGGCTATATCTCACATCGTAATGGGTAACCGCGCTCAGTGGGGGTGTGCAAACTCCTAGAGGGGTCCCTTACGGCCCAAGCATAATATCAAGCCATCTCGTGGCATCATCACTAGGCTCTCAGCCTCATATCAAGAAGCCACCTCATGGCGTACAAATCTAAGGCCCTCGGCCTCATAATCATAATCAGTGTATCACCGCTGTGGCATGCAGCCCGACCCAAAAGTATCCTCACAACACAGGCCCTCGGCCTCATAATCATAATCAGTGTATCACCGCTGTGGCATGCAGCCCGACCCAAAAGTATCCTCACAACACAGGCCCTCGGCCTTACTCAGTCAAAATTATATAAGCCACTCGGGCAACAGTAAAACATGATGCCCAGCCCAAAATATTATTTGAAATGTCATTTAGTATGTTAAAAACAGAGTAAACATGGCTGAGTTTGAAAAAAGTGGAATATAGCATGACTGAGTTCAAGATTAAAGTAAAAAAAGTGAGGAAATATCAATAAAAATCCCCTAAGGGTTCAATTAGTTGGCACGAGGCCCAAATATGGCATTCAGCCCAAGAGATGATGATAGCAATTAGATTTCAGTCAAATACGCGGTAAAATAATCATTTGGGACGGACTAAGTCACAATCCCCAACAGTGCACGACCCCATGCTCATCATCAAGCGTGTGCGTCACCTCAATATAGCACAACGATGTGCAAATTCGGGGTTTCATACCCTCAGGACATCATTTACAATCATTACTGACCTCGATCCGATCCAAACTCTAGCCCGTGATGCTTTTGCCCTCACGAATCGACCTCCGGATGCTCTAATCTAGCCACAATCAATACATAATCGTTAAAATATGCTAAGGGTATAAAGCCCACTTGAAAATATCCAACTTACATCAAAAATCCCGAAATTGCTCTAATCCGGCCCCGGGCCCACATCTCGGAATTCGACAAAATTAATATCAATAGAATCCTCATCCTCCCACGAGTCTATACATATCAAGAACACCAGAATCGGACCTCAAATGGCCCCTCAAATCCCCATTTAAAGGTTTAATCTGAAGCCCTAATTACCCATTTTTGCCACTGATTTTCCATAAATTTCAGGCTTACAAATGTTAAAATTCATCATAGAAACAAGTTTAGGGTCCAAAAATCTTACCTTCATGAAATCCTCTTGAATTCCCTCTTCAATTAGCTCTCCAAAGCTTTTTCCCAAATGAAATATAGTGAAAACTCACTCAAAATCGCGAAAGGAACCTTTTATACTTTCTGGCCCAGGCATTTTTGCACCTGCGGTCTATTTCCTGCTTCTGCTGTAACGCTTCTGCAATCAAATCCACTGCATCTGCGGTTTTCATTAAATTGCCCATTTTCGCATATGCGGTTAAAAACTTGCACCTGCACTACCGCAGGTGCACTTTACCGCTTCTGCGGTTCTTGAAGAACTTCCTCTTGGCCGCTTCTGCGGTTGCCTTCTGCTTCTACGATCATCGCACCTACGGCCTCCCAACCGCAGGTGAAGTTATGAAAGAAGCCAAATGCTTCAGCTGGAAAAACTCAATTCCAATTCTTCCGTCACTCATTCGGAATCACCCTGAGGCCCCTGGGACCTCAACCAAAAGCACAAACAAGGCACATACCACCATTCAAACTTGTACCAACCTTCAAAACACCTCAAACAACATCGAATCACCCAAAACACATCGGATTCAAGCCTAAGCTTCCAAAATCTTCTGAATTACGTTTTCGATCAAAAATTATACCAGACCACGTCCGAATGACCTGAAATTTTGCAAACATATCTCAAATGCCACAACATAACTACTGAAACTTCTGGTATTCCATTCCGACCTCTATATCAAAATTTCACCTATCAACCAAAAAATCCCAAAATCTCAATTTCGCCAATTCAAGCCTAAACCTTCCACAAACTTCCAAAATGCATTCCGATCACGCTCCTAAGTCCCAAATCACTTAACGGAGCTAACCAAATCATAAAAATTCCGATCTAAGATCATATACAAACAAGTCAAATATTGGTCAAACCTGATGCTAGCATCTCCACTCCCTAGTTGATGCCAGCATAACCTGATGCCAGCATAACCTGATGCCAACGTAGGATCACTACTCCCAAGTTGATTCCAAAATAATGTCTCCACTCCCTAGTTGATGCCGACATAACCTGATTCCAACATAACTTGATGCCAACGTAGGGTCACCACTCCCTAGTTGATGATTTTCCAACATAGGGTCCCCATTCCCTAGTTGATGCCAGCATAACCTGATGATTTTCTAACATAGGGTCTTCACTCCCTAGTTGATGCCAGCATAACCTGATGCTAAAATAGGGTCACCACTCCCTAGTTGATGCCAGCATAACCTGATGCCAGCATAACTTGATGCCAACATAGGGTCACCATTCCCTAGTTGATGCCAACATAGGGTCTCCACTCCCTAGTTGATGCCAGCATAACCTGATGCCAACATAGGATCACCACTCCCTAGTTGATGCCAACATAGGGTCTCTACTCCCTAGTTGATGCCAGCATAACCTGATGCCAACATAGGATCACCACTCCCTAGTTGATGCCAACATAGGGTCTCTACTCCCTAGTTGATGCCAGCATAACCTGATGCCAACATAGGGTCATCACTCCCTAGTTGATGCCAACATAGTCTCCACTCCCTAGTTGATGCCAGCATAACCTAATGCCAACGTAGGGTCACCACTCCCTAGTTGATGCCAGCATAGGGTCACCATTCCCTAGTTGATGCCATCATAACCTAATGCCAGTATACCCTGATGCCAACATAGGGTCACCACTCCCTAGTTGATGATTTTCCATCATAGGCTTTCCACTCCCTAGTTGATACCAGCATAACCTGATGCCAACATAGGGTCACCAATCCCTAGTTGATTCCAACATAGGGTCTCCACTCCCTAGTTAATAGCATCATAACTTGATGCTAACATAGGGTCACCACTCCCTAGTTAATGCCAACATAGGGTCTTCACTCCCTAGTTGATGATTTTCCAATAATAGGGTCTCCAATCCCTTGTTGATTTCATTTTATATTTAGGGTCTCCACTCTCTAATCTCTTTTTTCCAAGGATACAAAATCCCAACTTTTCATTGCTTTCAATAATGAAGTAGTATAGAGTTTTGGTTACAAATAACTCGCGAAATTTTCCTAGTGTAACTTGGGGCAGAAAAATTTCGTTTGTTTGTTTCTTTTGTTATTTGAGTAGGTTTTTCCTTGAGGCACATGGTTTGAGACGACCAAAAGAAGAAGTCTCAATCCAGAATAAAAGAAAAAAGAACAAAAAGAAAAAGAATTGAATCCAAAGTGCAGAAGCGAAGAAAAGATGTGGATTGCTCAAGACGTGATTGAAGTCACAAGCTTTGCATGTCCTGCCTTGATCCGAGAAGTTGAAAAAGAAATGAACCAACACCTGCAACTAACAAGAATCAATAATCAGATTAGAGTCCGCATGAAGAACCAACCAAGACTTAAGATCAAGCTTCAGAAGACTCATAGATAGGAATCTTGTAACTCGTAGCTGATAGGCTTAGTTAGTCTTTTTAATTTTAATTTTGATGTAATAACAGGACCATGGGCCAAAGCCTCGACGGAACCTCACTCTACTCTCGAACTCATCGCTCCATCATTTTTCTTGAACTACACGTGACCTGATTCCCTTATAACCTGGGATTATATAGGCTGTCCAAAATCAGAACTCGGTTGCACCTTTTTATTTTATTTTCTTACCCTTTTGAATAACGATATGGTCAAAAATTAGTCACATGTCTCACTTTGTCTTGCCCTAAAAACTCTTCATGTTTCCAAGCAAAGAGGGGAAGCTGTGAGCATCTAATTTTTGACTATATATTTGAGTTTTTCATCACTTTTAGTAGGTAAATATATCTTAAGTTTAATCTACTTATTTTAGCTCTTATTTCTCCTTTTATATATTTTATTTAAGAAAATTGAAAACAATAAAAAAAGAGTCATATTTTTTATAAGCTTTATCTTCATTTACAAATAAAGAAAAGGTTTTCCAAAAATACATTAGTTTGTTAAGTAAATTTTTAGTGATTAGTATTTTATCTTGCTATTCAAGTTTAGGAGTAGTATTTTTATTTTCATCTATTAATCAATAAAGGAAAAAATCAAAATCACATAAAAGGAAAGAAGTTTTAATTTGGACTATTTCGACTAAAGTCTTTCTTTGTCCAAATGTCCAAGTTATGGTCCAAATTGGCCCAAAACTTAACCCAATTCGCATAACCCACTACACAAAACCCAATATCCCCTCATCTCTAAAATACACCCTAATTTCCTCTCTTTAAAAGGGGACTTTCCCAAGACTCTAAGACCAAATTTTCCTAAGCTAGCATCAACCGCATCTCCTCCTTCTTCAATCTCTAACCTAGATACACAGCCACACACCCAAAAAGAGAAGAGGGAACCGTCTTCTTTATCTTCAATAGCGCAGATCCCAAGCCCAAAAATTTCCAGTAACAACCTCAAACCTTTACTATTTCAGCCATTGAAAGCAGCCGCAAACAGCCATGAGAACTCGCCAAAATTCCAACGAAACAACAACCCCTTTTTACCAAAAACCAGTAAAGAACTACTCTTGAAAACTAGTCTGAAAATAGCTTCATCTCCTCACCCTACTGTCATCTTCAACCAGCCATAAATACCAGCCCTTGACCACACTTAAACCACCAGAAAATACTTCAAAACATCTCCCCTTTTTACATAACACAACTACATTTTGGGGCTGAAGTCATCGAGTCGAGGTTCGAGGTCACTGCTGAGAGATTCAAGCCGAGTTTTGGTTGTTGAACTCGTGTGTCGACTTTTGTATTCCAATGTGATCGGCGGTAAAGATCCCAATTTGAGGTTCTTTCCTTAACTTCCAGTATGTTTTTGGTGTTTTACTCGCCCCTGTTTGCGCCTATTTGTATGTTTATTTTATAACTCACTGCTATCACTTGATCTTTGTTTTAGTTTTGTGGTATTTATGCTTTTCTAGGCCTTTTAAAAGTGAAAGAATAAGGATTGTTTGTTGTATCAACGTTTAGGTGTGTCCTAGTTAGTTTCTGCTTATTCAAATGCTACAAATATCTTTCTGGACTTCGTTTATTTCTCAGGCCAATTTCATATGACTGGCTTTTTGTTATATTAGTTTATGAAGTACTTGACATATGAAAATTGATTTCTAAGGGCAGGGTTATCAATTAGTAGGAGTGATTTTAGATTTAAATGAGCTGTAAATTGATAAGTTGGATAGAAAAGATAGTTGAATTTGATTTGATAAAATAACGTGTTGGCCCTTAGCTTAATACCTGGATTACATCATTTCTTTCACAATTTCCATAATTCATGGCCTTACAACATATCTCAAAGGTAGTTTAGGAAGAATAATTTAATATCGTAGCTTGCTTTAGGCGCGATTAATATTATAAATTATCGTGGCTATGGGTACGGTTCCCGTGGCATAGTCATGACACGTAATCTCCAATTCAAGTGTGCGTTTTATGTGACTCGACCCTTACTTCAAACAAAAATAAAATAAACATGTTGTAGATCGTTGGTACGGTTCCCATTACGTGATTCGCAATGTGTACAAAAACAAACGAGTGTGCGACATCACGACTTGTTCAAAAAAATTCCATAAATGTTAAAAGCGGTTTAGAGGAATAAAATGCACATAGGTTATGAATATTTAATAAATCTGATAATTAGGCCAATTTCAATAGTTGAGCAACCGTTCTAAAACCACAGAACTCGGGAGTACCTCACACCTTCTCCCGTGTTAACGGAATTCCTTACATGGTCTTCTGTGTTCGCATACTATAAATAAGAGTCAATTTCCTCAATTTGGAATTTAAAATAAACTGGTGACTTGGGACACCATAAATTATTCCAAGTGGCGACTCTGAAATTAAATAAATAATTCCATTTCAATTAATGTTACTTAAATTAGAAAAACCTCCCTTAACACCCTATGGGAAAAAGGAGGTGTGACAGTTGATAGATGCTCAAGTCGGGTTTTACTATCTCTAGATTCAACCCTTTAATTGGGACTATCAATTTCTTGAGTTCGTCCCAATTTCTTGTTAGCCAAGTTTTTCTAGACGTGGTCTTTTTTTTGCAAGTAGAGATTAAGTTAAATAGGCTTGAATCAATATTTTCAACTATTAATTCTGCAATTAAAGCAAGAATTAGGCTAAATATTACACATCCAATCATAAACAGGTCCTAAATCAAATACTCATTAGGTACCCACACTAGGGTTGGGTCACAACCCTAGGTAGAAATTTAGCTACTCATAGATGAAAATGAAGAAATTAAATAATAAAAGAAGATTAAACTCATATTAAATGATAAAGAGATAAATATCCAATGTAAAATAGACAAGCTATTGTAAAATTTCCTAAAGTAGTAAATAAAAACGGTTCCCAACATTTAGATGTTCAAAACTTCACCTAATTTATTCAAAAAACACTATTTATACACAGCTGAAATTTTCGGATAAGCCCATTTAGAGGTTCTGTGGCCGCAAATTTTTTTGTGCGGTCCGCACTTTGATGCAGGTCTTGACAGGAGGGACTTTTGAAGCCGCACAATTTTGAAATGCGGCTGCACTTCTTAAATTCTGCAGACCGTACACTTCTGAGTGCGGCCGCACTCTTAAGTTCTGCGGCCGCACAATTATAGTGCGGTCCACACTTCTTGATGGACTAAGATTGGTAACTCTCTGATCTTCAACATCTGCGGCCACACAATTATTGTGTCGTCCGCACTTTTCAAAGCTTTTCTGACAGAGGTCCTTCATGATCTGCGGTCGTAGACAGAATTCTGCAGTCCGCTGCCTTTTTACTTTGATTTAGTCCTTGTCCAAAAATACTCCTTCTTTATTTTTTAATACTCTTGCAAGAGAGCATATTGATCGAGACCAACCCTGCACTACTATTGAGTAGCAAGATAGGTCGAAGCAGCTTTTACCCGATTAAGGTCGGGATCGATTTTCACAGGGAACTAGAAGTTGGAGTCGGGTGTCTATCTAAAGTGGAGTTGTGTATTTGCTCTTGATTGCACTTCTAAACATTTTGGGTTTTAATTTACTTCTAATTGTATAGAACTACAATGATCAATTAAACTAAAATAAGCTAAGATTAAACTATTGCGAGTTGTTCAAATGGATAAAAGGCACTAGGGTAGTGACTTTCGCTTAGGTGGTCAATTGACGGATACTTGAGTCTGAGGCAGGATTGTCACATTTGGGGAGTATGATATAAACATTGCACGATTCTACTCACTCTACACCTCTCGGTAGTTCGAGTGATTTTGCCCAATTTACTTTCTTAAGACCAATTGGGTATGCAAATTTGTACAAGCAATCAAGGTTCAAGTCGGGTATTACTATCTCTAGGTTTAACCCTTTAATTGGGGCTATCAATCTCTTGAGTACGCCCCAATTCCTTGTTGGACCAATTTTAGAGACTTAGGCTCTCTTTCTAAAGAAGAGCCAAAGTCAACTAAACACAAACTAGTGTTTGCAACCACTAATTTAGCAATTAAACATGAAATTAGTCCAAATATCAAACACCCATAATCAATCAAGCCCTAAAATACAAGACCCGTCAATTATCCACACTAGGGTTGAGCCGTAACCCTAGCTTATGGGTCTAGCTACTCATAATTAGAGAAGAAAATAAAGAAATAGATGAAGAAAAACTCATATTAACTAATTGCTAAATTAAACTTGAAGATTCAATGTTGAAATAAAGCTAAAATTACTCAAAATAGCTAAAAACATCGAAGTTACGAGCGCAGCCTTCAGTACAAACTATTTGATGACCCAAAAATGGGAAAAGAAGCTATTTATACTAAGCTAAAATATCTGGACAAAAATACCCTTGCGGGGTTAGTGCAGACCGCTCAAAATCACGTGCGGCCGCACTAGGGCTCTGAACTTGAATAAACAGCTCCCTAAACTTGGGTAATGCGGACGGCACAAAATCGAGTGCGACCGCGGTGGCTTCTAGTGCGGTCCGCATGAGATGGAGCATGGACCGCTTTGAGCTTTAAACTTGGAACTGGTAACTCTCTGAACCTTGGCTCTACGGACCGCACAAGATTAAGTGCGGCCGCATTGATCCCTTGCGGCCGCATTGCCTTTGTGCCTGAATAGCAGGCTCTCTAAACTTCACTTGTGCGGACCGCACAAAATGGTGTGCGGACGCATTGGCCCTGTTTTGCTTGATCTTTGTCTTGTCTTGGTACTTGTGCAAGTTTTACTCCTTTTTGAGCTGATCTTTGACATCTTGTCACCTTGTTGATCAAACCTGCAATTAAGCATAACTTGTGAGCCTTTTAGGACAATTTTGTACACATCTCTAATCAAAACTTAAGCATGAAGGAGTATAAAATGTATCAAAATCCCTAGTTATCAACTCTCCCAAAATTAAGTTTTTGCTTGTCCTCAAGCAAACAAAATAAGACCCACCCCTTAAGAGAAAATCCAAGAAAATTCAACTATCCTAAAGTGACCTCATCTAGCATCAATTGGGACTAACAATTGCCCTCAATACAAATGAATCATTAACAACATTTACTCTTTTAAACACCATGGATTAAGTGCGATACAAAAGTATCAAGAGTTGACTCAACACATCAAAGAGCTCTCTTTATTACTTTGGTCATTGTGGAACCCAAACTCACACATCCTCAGCTCTCTCTAAGTAAACCTCACCTTTAGAATAGTGGCACTCAGAATGAGGTTAATGGAAAATCACTCATCTATCTCAAAGAAAAGTTACAAGTCCGACTCTAAGTACCATATGCTTGCCCCTTATGTGAGTCACCACTAATGTAAGTTTCATTCAACTAGAGATCATATAGCGCTTTTGTGGAGACATAGTTAATGCTTATGGTTCAGGGTAGGAAATGTTTGGTCTAAGTAGGTTCCATCTTCCCTTAAGCACTTCTTTTGCTTCGTTTGGCGCACATTCACTTGACTTTTTGAGTCTTTTCACTTCTTTCTAAGGGGTTAGAGAGACACACTATCACTCTTTCTTATACATTTCAAATCGTTTCTCCTTTTTCAATTTTCCACACCTTTCATTCTTTGCTTTTCTTGAATCCCTTTTATTCATTTCTACATTTGAGCAATCTTTTTGCCTTTTTGTTTTTCTTTCTTTTTCATTGCCTTTCATTTTCTTCATTTTGTACCTTTTTACTACTTTGTTGCCATCTTCGTCTCTCCCCTCAAACTTATACTTTTGCCATGTGCTAAGGAAAGATCGGGTGCCAAGAGAGGGTATCTTTTAGAATGGGTAAAGGCTTGTATCATGGTTCTTGAAGGAAAAAGGTCTAAGGCTCAAAAGGGTTGACTAGGGATTTTATCATTTGGAGGTTTTCAAGCTATTATTTGGATCAAGGAGAGCCTATAATCATATCTCAAGTCAAAATTCACTTAGGATTTTGCCTCAACAAACATTCAGGGCAAGTTTTAGACCAATGGCTCGGGACTTGGACTTGCAATGCAATTTCTCACCACACAAGCTATGGGATCACTAAAGACATAGAGTCGGGGCCCACAACGACCTTAGATAAGATTTGAGCACAAAATGGTCCCGAAAAATAACTTGATGATTATCGGTCAACACAAGAGTCTCAAGGTCATGACTTTCACCATCCTAAACACAACGATTTGTTTTTTACCATGAGATCAAAGGCAAATGTGCTAGGTCCAAGTGAAGCTTTGTTTGATGCACCCTTACCACTAACTACTAAAAAGCAAAAAGAAAAATGGACTCAAATCCTTAAGAAGGTTGTCACGCCATCCATCATTGGGAAGAGCCACCCGGTTCGCACAAACTCCACCTTTAGAAAGAACCATGGCATTAAGAAAACCAAAGGCTTATTGCAAACATTCAAAACAAGAAGCTACGAACATAAATAAGAAGCTACAGAAAAGAAAAATGCGGAAAGTAGAATGAATATGTACAAGAGGGGATTTAATCAAATATACAATACAGGGATGAATATATACAATGTAACATAACTTTTATATACAGACCCAAAGTGAAAAGTACGAAAAATGTAATGAAGTACTAAAATTATATACATACCAAAGATAAAAAGAAAGAAATCATAAAAATCTGTCGAATATATACATTCATCCAAATCAATAAAAGTAGGGCCTACCCCCTCAAATGAAAGCTGGCATTGTCCTCAATGCCAACTAAGCAAAATAAACACCAAAAATAAAGGGAAAAGAATATAGAAACTCCCTATGGCCTGTCTGTCTGCATGGCGTCATGAGTGGTCCCTGAGTCCTCAATATGCTCGGGAACCTCAGACTGGTTCCCTATGACCTGCTGCTTTGCTGCTGGGACCTGGACCTGGACAAGCTCCTGAGCTGTATCCTGTGGCTGAATGGAGGAGGTCTCCGGTGGGTCTGCCAACTGGATGAATGCATCATTTGTGTAGGGAATCATCCTCTTCCTCTTGGGAGGCTTTTGGGATTGCTCTAGCTGGGGATGAGCTCCTGGCATAGGGTCCTGTAGCAATAAATCCAAAGGCAGATGATCTGCCTTCAACCTGTCAACCTCAACCCTCAACTCCTTCACGGACTCCTTGGAAGCCCGCATCTTTCTTATCTTCTTGGCCTTCCTAGCAATCTCCTTGAGAGTTTTCCCATGAGAATCCAAAGCATCCGTAAGAACTTTTTGAGTGTCAAGAATTTTCTTCTGGTTGTCCAGAATATCCTTGAGGGCGTCCTCAATAGACTGTGGGACTTGTGGAGGCGGAGGTGCCGACTGAGCTACTACTGTAGAAGTGAGGACAGACAACTTAGAGGAAGTTGTCTGCATCTAGTTGTTGATGCTGAGAAGATCCTGGCTCAGACAGTGTGCAGTCACTAGGTAGGCCGTGGTGGAGGGTATGTTTGGAATTGCTGAAGTGGATGGACCAGGGGGCATGTCCGCTAGGGTGGACGAAGGTTGAGTAGGAGCCACTTCCACTACTGGCTCTTCAGACTGACCAGTTGCAGCAGTGGTTGTTCCCTTGTAGTTCTTGCTTTTGGGTTGTCATAACCCTGCATGTTGTACCATAAGAATGGGGACTTTGCTTTCACGTTGATATCAAATGCCCGCTTTTCAACTTTGAGGTCCCTAAAGTACATGGTTAAAAAACTGGGGAAGGGGTAGTTTCTGTCACCTTCACTAACTACCTGTGTAATCACCCGAGACATCACCTTCCCGACGTTAACTGGGTACCCCCCCATGATTGATGTTACCAGTACTGCCCGGTGAAGAGGGAGTGAGTTGTCATGAGTAGTGGGGTCCAATCTGCTGCACACGAATGTTTCCCAACCCTTGGCCTCGAAATTCAAACTTCTCCTCAAAATTTTCACTCCCGCATTCAACCAATGGGGGTGGTACTTGGGATTGCCAGATACTGTGCCAACCAAGGAGGACCACCTCACCTAATTCCATATTTGCCAAATACAGTGACTCATCCTCCTCATCGAAGCCCAAGTAGTCATTTATTGTTTTCGCATCAAACAACACTTTCAAATTGCGCACCTTGGTCACTTTGGTGCCCTTCTTGATATGGACAACATTTGTGTAGAAATCCTTGACCAGGTGCTCATTTGCATCCTCACAGTTTTTTAAGAAATACTCCCAGCCCACTCTCTCTCTAAACTGTTTTCTCACTTTGGGGTTGTGAGGCAAGAGGTCTCTATCAACAAAACTCCTCTCCGGAATCAATTTCCTCTAAGGCCACCATTCTCTGAATTTATGGTAGGCCACCTCACTCACAAACCGGTCTTGCCAAACCTCCGGTTTTCTAGTTCTAGCAATTCCTCCCACCTGTGGTTCACCCCCTTCTCCTACTACCTCATCTTCTCTTACTGCACCCTCTCTGGATAATGAAGTTGTGGGAGAGGTGGAGTATTCATCCCCACTGCCTTCAGCTAAGCCCTCAGATGACCCAGAAGTTACATTTACTGACGCTTGGGCAGTGGGGGAAGGAGGATGAGTGTCTCTTAGTCTGTTTCTCTCCCGCCAATCAGGGATGTACTCTGGGATTGAGTCTGAAGATATATCCCGGGAGGGCTCGTATTCACTCCCAGTTTGGTCAATGGCCCTATCAGCAGCTTTAATGAGCTTCCTTGTGTTTTTAATATTTTGTCGGTCTTGGGGAGTCAATCTTAGCATCTTCTATTTCCCTCCCTGGGAGGATTCTCCTCTACCAGCTTCTTTAGAACCCTTGCCTCTTTGTTTGACCATTGTCAGAAGTAAGATGTTATGAGGAAGATTAAGCCTTAGAAATCAGTTATGTGCAATGAGTGGAGAATAACAACAATTTTAAAGCTCTGAGAGTTAAAAGATCTAAAAGTTCAAAATGAGGGCCTCAGGTACTATTTATAGAAAAATTCCTGGGGCCCATCTCACCTACCCAATGCGGACCGCACAAAATGCAGTGCGGTCTACACCACATAGCCTTAGATAAAGTTTGAGGAGGCAACCCACTGCGGTCTGCACAAAATGCTTTGCGGCCGCAGTGGTCCACCGCGGACCACATAAAATGTAATGCGGCCGCGGTGGCAAACTTCAGAGACTTGGTATTTTCATCCATCATCAGTGCGGTCCACACTGATTTTGTGCCCCCCGCACTGAGTTCTTTGCGGCCGCACACAATGTAGTGCGGTCCGCATTGAAAACTTTAGAGACTTGAACAATTTTTCCACCATGTCCTGCACTGCATCAACACAAACCTATAACATCTCACAATCAGTCAGTCCAAAAATAAATCCTACCCTACAATGAAAATCAAAGAAAAACAAGAAGAAAAAACACATGGGTTGTCTCCCAAGAAGATGCAGGTTACCATCGAATCATTTGAGATAAAGAAGTGCCACCACATGGCTGTCATCAATTTTTCTCAAGTAGTGCTTGACCCTATGCCCATTTGCTATGAAAACTTCCCCATTTTTGTTCTTTAAATCCAGTGCAACAAACGGTTCGATCCTTTTTCTCTCAAAGCCCTAAAAATCACTGTTCATCACTAAATATGCACGAATTCATCTGCATAGTCTTGATTAATCATCAATACTTCTCACATCTGGTAACTTTTACTTCTTTTCAGTTGTTTAATTTTACTATTTTCATTAAATTTTTGGTTTTAGCTTTGCTTCTGGTCTTTCCCGTATTTTTTTTGAATTGGTATCTTAGGTTAGTTCATTTGTTGTTTAAATTAGCATTAGGTAGTTAAAATATTGGGCAAACACTTAGGGACCCTTTAATAGGAAAAAAAATTGGACTTAAAATGAACATTTCATGAACCCTAGGTTAGTGCTGTGTTTTGGTACTCTGTGCGGACCGCGGTGGAATTTGTTCGGTCTGCGGTGCCCTTGTGCGGTCCGTAATGGTAATTTGTGTGGACCGCATTGAATAATGTTCTGAAACCTGATCATTGAGGACCGCGGCCACATTGCATTTTGTACGGTCCGTTGTGCCTCAATGCGGACCACATTGCCATTTTGTGCGGTCTGTGGTGCAATTATTCAGGGAGTAGGTAGTTTGAACCCCACCTCTGTGCAGACCGCATTGGTATTTTGTGTGGTCCGCATTGGCCTCTGTGTGGCCGCACTGCATTTTGTGCGGTCCGCACTATGCAACATTTGATACTGTCTGCAACATTTTCTTTCCTGCAACTGTGAACTTCATTGCTTTTACTGATACTAACAAAGCATAACTGAATGTTTTTTGCAGGAAATGGTGAAATCTAGAAGCAAGGGTGGTAAACAAGCAGGCAGGAGAGAGTCCTCCCAGGGTGGTAAAGGCAAGAACATGATAAGACTAACCCCACAGGTCCGTCAAAACATAAAGAACACAGGGAAAATCATCAGAGCGGCAAATAGGGCCATTGACCAGTCGGGGAGTGAGTATGAGCCCTTCCGAGATATATCTTCAGTACGAGTTTCTTCTGAGTCGTCTTAGGGCTTAGCTGTCGGTAGTGGAAATGAGTACTCCACCTCTCCCACAGCTTCATTATCTGGAGAGGGTGCAGTACCAGATGACAGGGAAGAAGTGGAAGGGGGAGAGCCTCAGGTTGGCGGGGTTGAATGAACAAGAAAACCGGAAGCATGGCAAGATTGTTTTGTGAGTGAGGTGGCCTACCATAAGTTCAGAGAATGGTAGCCTGTAAGGAAATTGATTCCAGAGCGGAGTTTTGTAGATAGAGACCTTTTGCCTCACAACCCCAATGTGAGAAGGCAGTTTAGAGAGAGAGTGGGCTGGGAGTACTTCTTAAACACCTGTGAGGAAGCAAACGAGCACCTGGTCAAGGAATTCTAAACCAATGTTACCCACATCAAGAAGGGCACCAAAGTGACCAAAGTGCGGAATTTGAAAGTAATATTTGACGGGAAAGCAATAAATGACTACTTGGGCTTCGATGAGGAGGATGAATCACTGTATCTGGCAAAGATGGAATTAGGTGAGGAGGTCCGTCCTTGGTTGGCACAGTACCTGGAAATCCCAGGTACCACCCCCGACTGGTTGAATGCGGGAGTGAAAATCTTAAGGAGAAGTTTGAATTTCGAGGCTAAGGGGTGGGAGACATTCGTGTGCGCAGACTGGACCCCACTACCCCACGAAAACTCACTCCCTCTTCACCGGACAGTACTGGTAGCATCAATCATGGTGGGGTACCCGATTAATGTCGGGAATGTGATGTCTCGAGTGATTACACAGGTAGTAAGTGAAGGTGACAGAAACTACCCTTTCCCCAGCTTTTTGACCATGTACTTCACGGACCTAAAGGTAGAGAAGCGGAACTTTGATATCAAAGTGAAAGCAAAGGCCCCGTTCTCATGGTACATCATGCAGGTTGATGACAACCCTAAAAGTAAGAACTACAAGGGAACAACCACTGCTGCAACTGGACAGTCTGAAGAGCCAGTAGTGGTAGTGGCTCCTACTCAGCCTTCTTCCACCCCAGCGGACATGCCCCTTGGTCCATCCACTTCAGTAGTTCCAGACATACCCTCTACCCTGGCCTCCCTAGTGACTACCCACCATTTGAGCCAGGCCCTTCTCAGTATCAACAATTGGATGCAGACAGTTCCTCTAAGTTGTCTGTCCTTACTACTACCGTGGTAGCTCAGTCGGCACCTCCACCTACACAGGTCCCACAGTCTTTTGAGGACACCCTCAAGGATATTCTGGACAACCAGAAGAAAATCCTTGACACTCAGAAAGTTCTCACGGATGCTGTGGATTCTCATGGGAAAGCTCTTAAGGAGCTTGCTAAGGAGGCCAAGAAGATGAGAAAGACTCGAGCTTCCAAAGAGTCCATGAAGGAGTTGCGGGTTGAAGTTGACAGGTTGAAGGCAGATCACCTGCCTTTGGACTTATTGCTAGATGACCTAGTGCCAGCAGCCCATCCCCAACTAGTGTAGTCAGAGAGGCCTCCAAAGAGGAAGAGGGTGATTCCACACTGGAGATCTCCTCTAGTCAGCCATAAGATGCAGCCCAGGAGCCTGTCCAGGTCCAGACCTAGGTCCCAGCAGCAGAGCCACAGGTCATAGGGAGTCAGTCTCGGGTTCCCGAGCATATTGAGGACCCAGGGACCGCTTAGGACCCCATGCAGATAGATAGGCCATAGGGAGTTTTTGTATCCTCTTCCCTTTTATTTTTGGTTCTTATTTTGCTTAGTTAGCATTAAGGACAATGTCAGCTTTCATTTGAGAGGGTAGGCCCTACTTTGGTTTGATTTGGATGACTGTATATATTTGACAGATTTTATGCTTTCTTTATTTTTCATCTTTGGTATGTATATAATTTCAGCACTTCATTACATTTTTCGTACTTTTTACTTTGGGTTTGTATATAAAAGTTATGTTATTCGATTAAACAACCCTCTTGTAAATATTCATTTTACTTTCCGTAATTTTTTTCTTTCTTAGCTTCTTATTTGTGTTTGTAGCTTTTTGTTTTGGATTTTTGCAATAAGCCTTTGGTTTTCTTAATGCCACGGTTCATTCCAAAGGTGGAGTTTGTGTGAACCGGGTGGCTCTTTCCAATGATGGATGGCGTGACAACCTTCTTAAGGGTTTGAGTCCGTTTTTCTTTTTGCTTTTTAGTAGTTAGCGGTAAGGGTGCCTCAATAAAAGCTTCACTTGGGCCTAACACATTTGCCTTTGATCTCATGGTCAAAAACAAATTGTTGTGTATAGGATGGTGAAAGTCGTGACCTTGAGACTCTTGTGTTGACCGATAATCATCAAGTGGTTTTTCGGGACCATTGTGTGCTCAAATCTTATCTAAGGTCATTGTGGGCCCCCGACTCTGTGCCCTTAGCGATCCCATAGCTTGTGTGGTGAGAAATTGCATTGCAAGTCCAAGTCCCGAGCCATTGGTCTAGAACTTGCCCTGAATGTTTGTTGAGACGAAATCCTAAGTGTAATTTGACTTGAGACATAATTATAGGCTCTCCTTGATCCAAATGATAGTTTGAACACTTCCATATCCCACCAATGATAAAATCCCTAGTCAACCCTTTTGAGCCTTAGACCCTTTTCCTTCAAGAACCATGATACAAGCCTTTACCTGTTCTAAAAGATACCCTCTCTTGGCACTCGATCTTTCCTTAGCATATGGCAAAAGTATAAGTTTTGGGGGAGAGACGAGGATTGCGACAAAGTGGTAAAAAGTTACCAAAAAAATGAAGAAAAGGAATGGCAATGAAAACGAAAGAAAAGAAAAAAGACAAAAAGAATGTTCAATGTGTAAGAGAATAAAAGGGATTCAAGAAAAGCAAAGAATGAAAGGTGTGGAAAGTTGAGAAAGGAGGAAAGATTTGAAATGAATAAGAAAGAGTGCTAGTGTGTCTCTCTAACCCCTTAGAAATAAGTGAAATAACTTAAAAAGTCAAGTGAATGTGTGCCAAAATGAAGCAAAAGAAGTGCTTAAGGGAAGATGAAACCTACTTAGACCAAACATTTCCTACCCTGAACCATAAGCCTTCACTATGTCTCCACAAAAACCCTATATGATCTTGAGTTGAATGAAGCTTACATTAGTGGTGACTCATATAAGGGGCAAGCATATGGTACTTAGAGCCGGACTTGTGACTTTTCCTTAAGAGAGATGAGTGAATTTCTATTAACCTCGTTCTGAGTGCCACTGTCTTAAAGGTGAGGTTGGCTTATGGAGAGTTGAGGATGTATGAGTTTGGGTTCCACAATGACCAAAGTAATAGAAAGAGTTTCTTTGATGTGGTGAGTCAACTCTTGATGCTCTTGTGTCGCACTTAATCCATGGTGTTTAAAAGGGTAAATGTTGTTAACGATTCATTTGTATTAAGGGCAATTGTTATTCCCAATTGATGCTAGATGAGGTCACTTTAGGACAGCTGAATTTTTTTGGAATTACTCTTAAGGGGTGGGTCTTATTTTGTTTGCTTGAGGACAAGCAAAAACTTAAGTTTGGGGAGTTTATAACTAGGGATTTTGATATATTTTACACTCCTTCATGCTCAAGTTTTTATTAGAAATGTGTACAAAATAGTCCAAAAGGCTCACAAGTTGTGCTTGATTGCAGGTTTGATCAACAAGGTGACAAGATGTCAAAGATCAACTCAAAAAGAAGTGAAACTTGCACAAGTACCAAGACAAGACAAAGCTCAGTCAAATAGGGCCAGTGCGTCCGCACACCATTTTGTGCAGTCTGCACAAGTGAAGTTCAGAGAGTGTGCATCTCAGGCTAAAAGGCAATGCGGCCGCGAAGGATTTAGTATGGTCCGCATTGGATTCACTGCGGCTGCACTCAATTTAGTGCGGTCCGTAGAGCCAAGATTCAGAGAGTTGCTAGTTTGAAGATTGAAGCCCAATGCGGTCCGCGCTCCATTTCATGCGGACCGCACTTGAAGACACTACGGCCGCACTCGATTTAGTGCGGTCCGCATTGCCCAAGTTCAGAGAGCTGGATATTTAAGTCAAGAGCCTTAGTGCGGCCACATTTGATTTTGTGCGGTCCGCACTAGCCTCGCAGAGGTATTTTTTTTTCCAGAATTGTTAGTTTAGTATAAATAGCTTCTTTTCCCATTTTTAGGCCATCAGATAATTCGTTTATTTTAGCTATTTTGAGCAATTTTAGCTTCATTTCAACATTGAATCTTCAAGTTTAATTTAGTAATTAATTAATATGAGTTTTTCTTCATCTATTTCTTTGTTTTCTTCTCTAATTATGAGTAGCTAGACCCATAAGCTAGGGTTGTGGCACAACCCTAGTGTGGGTAATTGATAGGTCTTGTGTTTTGACGCTTGATTGTCTATGAGTGTTTGATATTTGGACTAGTTTTATGTTTAATTGCTGAATTAGTGGTTGCAAACACTAGTTTGTCTTGAGAAAGAGAGCCCAAGACTCTGAAATTGGTCCAACAAGGAATTGGGGCATACTCAAGAGATTGATAGCCCCAATTAAAGGGTTAAACCTAGAGATAGTAATACCCGACTTGAACCTTGATTGCTTGTGCAAATTTGCATACCCAATTGGTCTTGAGAAAGTCAATTCGGGCAAAATCACTCGAACTACCGAGAGGTATAGAGTAAGTGGAACCGTGCAATGGTTATATCATACTCCCTAAATGTGACAATCATGTTTTAGACTCAAGAATCCATCAATTGACTACCTAGGCAAAAGTCACTACCCTAGTGCCTTTTTTATCCATTTGAACAACTCGCAATAGTTTAACCTTAGCTTATTTTAGTTTAATTGAGCATTGTAGTTTTATACAATTAGAAGTAAATCAAACCAAAAATGTGTAGAAGTGCAATTAAGAGCAAATACGCAAATCTCATTTAGATAGACACCCGACTCCAATATCTAGCTCCATGTGGAAATCGATCTTGACCTTAATCGGGTAAAAGCTACTTCGACCTCTCTCGCTACTCAATAGTAGTGTAGGGTTGGCCTCGATCAGTTGCAGAAGATAAAGTTCAGAGAGAAGAGATTTTAAGGTCAAGAAGAAATGCAGACCGCACCATTTTTGTGCGGCCACATAATCAAGAGCGCGACTGCACTCAGAAATGTGCGGTCCACAGAAGTCCCACAATGCAAAGCCCAAGGTCAAAGAGTGTGGACCGCACTATAATTGTGCGGCCATAGAAGCAAGAGTGCAGCCGCACTCATAAATGTGCGGTCTGCAAAAGTTGAAGGAGTGCGGCCATAGAACTGGAACCTGTCAAGCCAAGTCCCAATATGCGGACCGCACACATAATTGTGCGGCCGCACATGCTCCGCATGGGTAATTTTGTCAGATATTTTCATCTTAATATAAATAGAACTTTTTGTTATTTTTAGGTCAAGTATTGTAAGTTAGGAGCACCTGAACCATTTTTATTTACTGTATTGGGTAAAATTTTACTAGATTAGCTTTTAAACATTAGATTTTCTTCACTCATTCAACTATTATGAATTCTATCTTACTTTCTTCTTTAATTTCTTCATTTTTTATGAGTAGCTAAACCCTTAACTAGGGTTGTGACCCAACCCTAGTATGGTTTAGGGCTTATTTATGATTGGGTTTATGATATTTAGCCTAGTTCTTGCTTGAATTTGAGAATTGATGGTTGCAAACATCGATTCATGCCTATTTGACTTAGTCTCTACTTGAGAAAGAGAGACTAAGTCTAGGAAAACTTGGCTAACTTGGAATTTAGGTGAACTCAAGAAATTGATAGCCCCAATTAAAGGGTCGAACCTAGAGATAGTAAGACCCGACTAGAGCATTTATCACTTGCTTTATGAAATACCCGTTTGGACTTGAGAAAGTCAAATCCGGCAAAATCACTCAAACTACCGAGAGATAGAGTGAGTAATTGAGTGTGATTGCTATATTATATCCCGATCAACCAAACATGCTCTAAAGCTCTAAATCCGTTAGGTAACCAACTAGGCAGAGGCCGCAACCCCAGATCTTTCATAACTTGAAAAACAACCAAAACCAAAAATATTATCTCTTAGCTCTACAATTACAATCGTAGCTTAAAAGTAGAAGTATAAACAACAATTCAAAATATGAAAGTGTAATTTGGGGCACATCATACATTCAGACTAGGCGTATACCTAATCCAAAATCTAACTCCCTGTGGATTCGACCCCAACTTGCGTTGGATTTTTATTATTACTTCGACTGCCTTACAACCTATATTTGTGGTGTGAGTTTGGGAGACATCATGACACTAGAGAATCAAGAGTTAACTTTATTATCAAGGAAGCTCGCTCTTTAATGTAGGTCATTATGGATCTCAAACCCCTCCTCGTTTACTCTCTGTTAGCATATCTCACTTACAAATGTAGCACTCAATTCAAGAATTGTGAAAAGTTCGCTCATCTCTCTCAAAAGAATGTCACAAGTACGGCTGTAACTACCATATGCTTGCCCCTCATGTAAATCACCACTAATGTAAGTTCACTCGTCTTGAAATCACGTAGGGCTTTCTCGAAATGTAACGAAGACTTTTGGACAAAGGTAGGGAATGTTGGGATAGAAACGGGTTCATCGATCCTTAAGCACTCCAGTTTTCTCTTTTTGGCTCATGTTTTGCTGACTCTTTGAGTCTTTTTTCCCTTAGGGGAATTAGAGAGACTTAACATCACTCTTTCTTGGTCATGATGTTCATTTTCTCCTTCTTTGTTTTCTCCATGATTTGCATCATTGCTTTTCTTTGAATCCCTTCAACTCTTCACTTTATTCATTTTCTTTTTGCATTTTTCTTTTGTTCCTTATTTCTTTTTCTTTGCCTTTCCTTTT